TGCCTTTGTAGTAGCTTGCAGCAAAGGATGTGAAATTACACTTGATTACTCTCACCTGCCATATACACATACACATACACACACACACACACACACACACACACACACACACACACACACACACACACACGTCTTCCTGTAGTGATTGACATATACAGGAAGTGATGTAACAGTGTTTCATAGCTGCTGCTTACACTGCTGTGGATATAGTAGCTGAACGCGAGTTTTGTAATGGCTATGCATCTGTTGTGTGTGTATATATACACATACATAACCATTAGAAACACACACACACACACACATATATAATATATATATTTACATATACTCACAGACCCCTTTCATTTTTCCACTTAAAATAGAAAATTCTCATACATCACCAACGGACAAACAGAATTTTAGAAGATTTTGCAAATTAGAAAACAAACTGAAATATCACATTGACATAAGTATTCAGACACTTTACCGTGACACTTGAAATTGAGATTCGGTGCGTCCCATTTCTCTCGGGGAGAAGGGTCGGCCTTGGTAAGAGGGGTGACCAGGAATCTGATAGTGACCGGATCCTGTGTGGAGTCTGGCGTCTAGCGAAAGGATGTTTATCTGCCTTTTCGTCTTTACTAGTTCACTATAGCTTGGTAGAAAAAAAAATACTAATTTAATTCACTGTGCTGATTGTTGTTGATGTTCTGTACGCCTTAAATATCAATATAACTTTGACCATTTCATTAGCTTTCTGAAATGTCTAAAGCAACTATCTTTGACTTCCCATTGCTTACTTTCTTGTGTATAACTGCTGATACCGATATATCTGTAATTGGCTTTTAAATCAGTTGATGATATCCGATGTATCCGTCAACTGTTACTCTGGATATGCAGAAACAAGCAGTAATTTAACAAATGAATCATCATCATCATCATCATCATCATCATCATCATTCAGTTAAACATTGTTCCACATGAGCCTGGCTGCAGCGCTGGCTTTGTAGTTGAGCAGCTACTGTGGAAAATACAGTGTCAGTCTACTTGACTTAAATGCTACGTTAGCAAGTTGACCATTAGCGCACAGAGGTAATGGCATGTTACAGTATAGTATAGTAGCACTGTTAAAACATATCTGTTGAACATAATATAGTAAAGAGTAGAGTAGCACCTGTCTGAGTGGTTCAGAGAGACATGGAGGAATGAGCTTGTTAACTGGTATTTATAACAAGAATGGATGCTCCCAGCAGAAGGAGGTTTTACTATTGTCCTGTGTCATGCTAATGCTGGCTGTTGGTCAACAAAGAACAGTAACATTTGGGCTACTGGTGACCAGTACTGGCAGAAAATGGTTTGATCTCGATTATTGTTTGTTGTTAAAATGTTTAATTCCTCAAAATCTGTTCAGGAATGAAACCCTGCACAGTTTTGGCTTAATAGATTTAAGAATATCAGACAAATAATGAAATGTTGGCTGATATAAGCTAATAAATATAATTTAAAGAAACAAATTAAAGTAATGTTAATGAAGTAGCTGAGCGGTGTTGGCTATAGCCTGTAGCCTACAGTTGATTTTATGCTGAAAACTGTTCTAATGAGTAAATGAATAACCGTTATCTAATTTTCTCCCACCTCAGTGTAGCGCTGACGTCCACTAATAAAAAAACAAAACAAAACATGCAGTACAAAGTACGGAATAGGCGAGGAAGAGCTCGAGTGATTGACAATATGTGGCTATTGACTCCTGTTCTAATATCATAATGGAAAACATTTAAAATGGCCTGAGAAATTGGAACCACACAGGAGATCAAGCATCACATTTTGTTGTCAATATACAGACACATTTTCCCATCACTCCTAATGTCTATTACATTTTAAAATGGCTGACTGGAACTAGGGGTGCCCCGATTGATCGGCAGATTTTCGTTGAAAATATGTGATCGGTAGATCGGCAATTTATGCTCCTCGTCACCGATCACCTTTAAACCAATCACCTGGGGTTAATACTCTGGTGTCTGAGGCTGAGAGAAGTGCCGTGTAAAACCAAACATGTCGACCGTGTTGAACTTTTACAAAGTGTGTGAGACTGATATAACGTACGCCATCCCACGCATAGATGATTGGTATTGGCGGCTAAAAAAAAAACAAACTTGATTGTGGCGTTCCTAACTAGAACAGTGGAATACCACTATAAATAAACATGTGCACACTCAGACTCTCATGTTTTTGGCTGGACAACAGCCCTCTAAACACGAACGTCCATGACTGACTGACTGACTGACTGATGGAGATCAGGGATCAAGTTACACCATTGGTCGTTCGTTGCTCTTTCAAAATGAATTGGCACAAACAGTTTCTATTAGGTGGCAGTTAACGGCAGCAGTGTTGCCAACATATGGAGCATTTGTAGGTAGATTTAAACCTTAGATATTTTCTCTGTAGATGTCTATGAGCGAGAGGCGCAGCTTTCTTGCATCCACTCTGTTCAGTGAGCGGCAGAGAGACGGAGACAAAATAAGAAAGATATCCTGTCTCTTCTAACTTTCTCTCTGAGCCATCATTTTAAGTAAATACAGCTGAAATCACAGAAGTTGTCTTTGTGTTTGGTGATTCTGTCAAATGAAGTGATTTTTTTTTTTTTTTTTTTTAAGGATTTTAGCAGCAGCTTGAAAGTGACTTAAAAGGCCACGTTTCGATCACTGTTCAATACGCGTTCTGCTGTCTGACAACAGACACAGCTGTATTGTGAATCCAGCTGCATTAAAATACTGTTTATACGATCACAGAGAGGAGAAGGGAAGCAAACAGATAAAGAACTGAAACCAGCTGATACTAGACTGAATGCAAATACAATGCAATGATGTCAGTTGTGTACAGCGCTACACAACCATGTCCTCAATTTCGCACACGGTCCAGCCACATACTGGGGTTTGACATACTCTTGTCTCTGTAGTGGTGTAAACTCTGTGACAGCCTCATTAAAAATGGCAGGTTTTTAAATGGGGGTTGGAAAATGCTTTCCTACAACTTCCAGCCAAAGTTTTTTTTTTTTTTTTATAAATAACAAGTTTTTCTAAATATCAAAAATACATTTAACCCAATACCTCATAGAATCCTCGTTCACCAGGCAATTACAATCGACAACAGCACTAATAGTGCATTATTCTTTTATATATTTGTGTTGCCGTTCAAGTTTTACAGGCAATAAAACAAATAGTGGAAGAAATGAAAAGCTGGTGAACAAATCAGTTACAACACATTCATCCCTTTTGAATAGAGCTGAAGAGAAAACATCAGCCTTGTGACAGGAAGCAGCCGGTGTTTATGTGAAATATGTCACAAACACTAGCACAAACAACGCTCTTACACTGACATTCAGCTTGTTGTTTTCTGTCTTTCTAAAAGGTTCCTTTGACTGTAAATGCTGTGATAGACTAGTGAGGTGTCCAGGATGTACTGTACCTCTCGCCTGATGCATTGTGGGGTTTCGCCTGAGCAGGCAGTACAGTCAAACACAGCTGTTAGCCTGCCGCTAACACTTAAGGTTTTTGCTGCCGCTGCTACAGTAACATAACATTATTAACCTCATTTGAGTGGGAGAATTAGGTATTTAATGTGACACAATTTAGTTATTGTACAAAATATTTATTAGTAAGGGGAAATGAATAATACATGCACACTATTTCATACGAGTACGTGATCACACATACCTACTGGTAATCTGTAATGAACCAATGAATGAAGAGGAGTGTGGAGGAGGAAAGAAATGAGCTGAAGTAGGGGGAGGAGGGGAAATCTTTACCATTAGAAGTTGGATTGGGTGTTTTGTGCAGTGCATTGAAGCAACAAGCAATCCTCCCCCGTCTCCTCCCCCGCCTCGGCCTTCAATATGGGCTCAGCTACTCGTGCACACATGCTCAGATCCACCTACAGTACCTTCACCCACAGACTGGGGTGCCGGGTTGGTCACCCGCTCCTTCAGATGTTGATTATATTTACACATCTCAATTTTTCAGATGTTTACACACAAAGACTTTATTTAAGATAAATACTAAAGATATATAAAGAAGGCTTGTTGTATGCATGTTTTGTTTTTCCTTTTATAGCCAGTTAAAGCAACAGACAGCACCGGCCCTTGTCTTCATACATGTGCCAGGACTGACTCACTAGCGAGTCATCCAGCTAGCTTAATGCCTTGCTAACCTAGTTGTAACCACTGACTGACTGGTGAGTGGAAAACCTCCCTGGTCTGTTGGCTGGCTGATTGCTGGCTGGCTGGATGGCAGCTGCTGCTGTTCAAACAGAGTTGCATCTGCTGGGCCCTTTGTTCTAACACACACACATTCAATGACTTCAAGTGTGTGTTGAAAAAGAAAGAAGCTCTTTTGTTTGGTTGTAAAATGGAGGTGGGGGAGGGTTTTGGAAGGAGTGCTAATATGAAGTGTGTGTGTTTTGGGGTGTGTGAATGAGAAGAGGTATTTTTTTTCCAATTGGGGCATGTGTTGTTTTTTTTTTTTTTTCTGGGGTGGTTACAACAGATTAACTTGCTAAACATGCAAGTTAATCTCTTGCACCTTTGCCTAACAGCTAACAGCTCATAAACCAGCTAAACAGGGACAAGCACTTTGGGGAAACTAAAACTTTTTTCTTTTTTTCTTTTTTTTTTAAATTGCGTTAGCTTCCTCTCTGTATTGATTGTCTACGTGGTTTAAACTAAGCATAACCACAGACTTGTAGACTTCACCTACATGTGGGTCCAAACAATGAGATAATAGTTGAAGTCTTGCTCACCGCTACAGAAAAATACACCAGCTTTGGTTAAACTGGTGACTTGTAGTAAGACGTATTACTATATTTCTAGAAATAATTATTTATCTTTCCCTCTCTGTCTCTCTACAGGATCTAATGAGGACCATGGAGTAACAAGCTTCAAATTAGCAGCTAGCTGATTAGCTCCTCACTGCACAACACACCTCCCTCCATCTAGTCCCCTCCATCCGAGGGCCCACCACCCAGCCATGGCGGACCCAGGGATGTTGAGTTTATTCGGGGACGATGCAGGGCTGTTCTCAGATGGATTAGATGGTTTAGGAGGCTGCTTTCCTCAGCAGCCGGCCCCTGGCCAGTCCAACCCTCTAGCCCAGCAGACTAATCCCTCCCTGAACCACGAGCACCAGGGAAACAGGGGTTACCACCAGGGGATGATCCACGGTGCCGGGACTGGCCCAGGGCAGCCTAAATTGGGGCAAATGTACGACCACGGCCCCTACACAGGCTACGAGCAGTCCGGTGCCCCTGCAGGACGAATGATGGCCCAGAATGGTCCCACCCAGGGGCCGCCAAATGTGAATCCGGCCATGAATGGCATGGCTTCCCACTACCATAATAACCCAGCTAACTCTAGCAACCCCTGCCATGGGTACCCAGGTGATGCTGGCGGAGGAGGAGGTGGTGGGGGTGGAGTTTGGGGCCAGCAGCAGCAGCAGCAGCAGCAGCAGCAGCAGCAGCAGCAGCAGAGCAGATCAGCCTATCAGCAGCCTCCAACACAACCAGGAGGCGGCCCTAATCAGATCGGAGGCTACCAGATGTCTCAAGGCAACTATGGTGGGATGCAAGGCCCGCCCACACCCAATGCAGCTCGCATGAACCAACACTACGCTCCACAGAGCATGGCCCCCCCTCCTGCTCAGGACCCATCTCACTACCTGGGACATGTTGGAATGGGAGGGGCCCAGATGAGACACCCACAGCCCCAGCCACAACCCCAGGGCTATCCCAACATGGGTCACACACCGCGATACCCACACTCCCCATCCCGACAGCCCCCACACACCCACCAGCACCAACAGGGCATGGGGGGGTTTGGGGGAGGCCAGTACCCTGGCTATCAGGCCCAGTACGGAGCCATTGGACCTGGGATGGGCCAGAGTGCTAATACTAACATCAGTACTAACACCAGCCAGGCCATGGGACCAGGGCAGCTTGGCCAGAGGTTTAACCAGGGATCAGGCCCAGCAGCTGGGCAGCAGGGCCAGCGATACCCCCCTGCACCACCACACCAACCGCAGCCCCTTCAAACCCACTCTACCCCTATGCAGCAGCAGGCAGGACAGCAGGGCCAGCCTATGCACCCCTTAAACCACACCCAGCACCCCCAGAATGTGCCCCAGTCTCAAAACCAACCCCAGTCCCACCTTGCCCCCCCAGCTCAGGGATCTTACCCCTCCCCTTCATCCATGTCCCCCATGCGGGTTTTGGGAACCCCAACCCCTCCCCCCCAGCAGGGCAGACCCCCTAGCGCAGGACTAGCTGGGCCCCCAGAGGTTGCAGGGTACACAGCCCTGCAGTCTCCACCCAATGCTATGCCCCATCCACAGAGAACTCCCCAAACTCCTTTATCTACCCCACACCCCCAACACCAGCAGCCCCACAACATGCCCTCCAATGCAGGGCAGATGTATCCCGGCATTGGGCCACAGCGCGGACCACAGATGGGTCCAAACAGGCCTCAGCTCCAGCAACAGCAAGGTAAACGCCCCACAGCTGATGCCGTCCCATGCTGCGTTTTTATTTGGCACCAATTCAAACATTTTATTTACTTTAGACGGAACCTCACATTAAACATTTATGCAAGCTGAGATATTGACAACAACAGAAAGATTTGCTGTTTTCATACCTGACATGTAGTGTGTAAATAAAAAAACAGGATTAGACAGATGGTTGTGAACTAACACCAAAATGTTGGTGTGATTGTCTTGACACTAATTCTGCTGCGCCGTCAGTGTATTTGGCAACCCTGGAACTGTTTTAGAGGATTTTCCTCAGGGGCACAGACGTAGTTCCATAGTTTGACTCGGGATCAATCAGACACCCAGTGGTCGGCAACTGGCAGATTTTTTAAATCTTAAAAAATAGATTTCCGTCTGAGCAGCAAAAGTTACCTGCAGAATCACTTCCCTGGAAAATAAAAACAGCAATGCTTTATTTCAATCTATTGTGATTTTTTTATTCTGAAAAGTTCTGAAAGGAAGTTCCAGTGGTTCTATTACCTGCTTGACAAACAGACGGAGCGGAGTTCAGTAAATCAGTGGATCGTATAACGTGTGACTGTGGGTGGACGGGCTTACAAACATCGCAGGGGAAAGATGGGAATCACAACTTCCTATCAGGACTTTCAGAATAAAATCATGATGATGAGCAAGATTGAAAAGATCGTCACATGATCTTTTTACCACCCCTGTTTGAGACTGTGTTGCCACAGCGCCACATATATGAACGGCAACAAAGTAAATTCCAGTTGCCTTTTTATCAATGGTTGTTTACGTTCTGGACGCCGTCTAATTGTCCCAAGGCCAAACTGACTTGCCGACCCCTGCAATAGGTACGCAAGTGAATTAATGAAATAATTCAGAATCATCCACATCCACCCTGACATGGTCTGTGTAGCTACTGTCAGCCACTATATTCTGTATTTGCTTTCATGCTAAATTGATTATGGCATCAAAGTTTAAATTGAGCTTAAGTTGCTGTTATTTTATTTTGTTTGGTCAGTGATGGTAATGTGTCTCTTCTCCCAGGACCTCATGAAGCTCCAGTCAGCCAGGGAGGAGACCAGCGTCTGCTCCAGGCCCAGCAGCAGGCCTCTCGCAGCGGGCAGCCCCTGCAGTCCTCGCCCATGGGTTTCCAGTGTCCGCCTGTCGGTCAGCACGGAGCTCCGGCCTCCAACCAGGGTTTAGCGCCGCCCAACCAGAACTCTCAGACACAGCAGACGCACCTGCCCCCCCACCACCTGCAGAGCACACCCCCTCAATCCAACCAGGGATCCAACCCATGGGCACCTACGCCTCCTGCCTCCCACCCACTCTCCTCACCCCCTCTTACTCCACAGAAAGTGCCTCACATACAGGTGAGTCTCCGTAAAACAAGCGCTTTGATGTGGTAGCATCACCGTGTGTGTGTGTGTGTGTGTGTGTGAGACAGAGATCAAAACTATGTGCATTTGTTTTCATGTGTGGGTGTATTTCATCTGAATGTTTATTTTTCATGTGGGTGGGGGAATGTGTGTGTTTAGAGTGTAAGGGAAGTGTGTGATACGTGTGTGTGTGCATAAATGTGTGTGTACATGACATTTGAAAGCACAGCGGTGCATTGGGCCCTGGTTCATTGGGGTTTTGTGCGTTTGTGTGTTCATATCGGTGTGTGTTTTTTTTGTTTGCCTTTTGTGTCTTCTGCTGTCGGCCTTGTGCGGTTGTGGTTGTGTTTCCGTGTGTGTGCGGGGGGGAATGGATTTTTGCAGCTGTTTGTTTCCTGTGAGCTGCATATCCTGAGACACGTGTGCAATACACACACATGCATGCACACACAGAGAGGCGCCACCAACATAATCTCTCCTCCCTCTTGCTCCCACATCTCCCCCTCCTCTGCAGAGGAAACCTCCCTTCCTGTCTCTCCTTTCTCCCCGTCTCCTCTCTTTCCGCTCTCTCTCTCTCTCTCTGCCTGTCTGTCTTTCTGTTTGTCTTATCCATTTCAGGGGTGTCATCTCTTCGTTAATGTTGTGTAGCCGGATGTCCAGAGAGTCAGACAGTTGTGTAGCCGGATGTCCAGAGAGACAGTTTGGAAAAGGAGACAGTGAGAGGGGAAAAAAGAAAAAGCTGGAGGGTGATTAAGAGATTGGGGGAGGGGAAAACACTAAGAGGAATGAAGTGGGAAAACAAGCAAAGATCTCAAGAGAGGGAGTCTAGGATCTCAAGCAAAGGAGACGAGGAGGAGGGGAAGGTGAAGGCTGGTGGGAAGAGGTTAGCAGTTCTCAATGGCAACTTCCATGTTTGTGTGTGAGCGTGCACCGTCACCACTGCCTGCGTCACGTGCCCTTGGCTTCCATTAGCTTGTTTTGTTGCTCAAAGCCCCCTTTCTCCACTGACCCATTCACACACAATAGCAGCCCTGTGGCCACACACACACACACACACACACACACACAGAGAGAGAGAGAGAGAGAGATCTAGTCCCCTCTTTCTCTATCATTCCCGCTTGCCGACTGCTCCCCCCACCCCACCTCAGAGCCTGCGTTGCTGCGATTCTTGGTTGACATTTCAGCCGTCACACTTAATTTATCCAGCACTTCTGACCTAGATGCCAGGTTGACTGGTGAGCCCTGGTGCTCGCCTGGGCACGTCGCGTGCGCTGCCCTGATTTTAGCTGCAGGCCCGGCAGCCCCCCGTCAGCCCCCGCACACACAGACGCACACGTGCACGCCGACAGTGTGGCTCGGGATATAGTGTGGTCTGGAATGGGATGGCAAATGTGCCTGGAGAAATAGGATAGCCTATCTAGAGGAGTACTCTGTGTGTGTGTGTCTGTGTCTGTGTGTGTGTGTGTGTGTGTGTGTGTGTGTGTGCCTGCCGCACAGGAGGGAGTTCTCTCTGTGCCTCATGATGCACTTGTTAGAAAGAGCCACACACACCCCAAGCTGGCCAGTCAGTCATGATGACTGTATGTCTGGTACTCTAAGCTCCATCTGTTCACTAAGCATGGTTATTACACATGCACTCACACACACACACACACGCACACACGCCTGCCTTCGTCAGCAGCTCAAGGTCACAACTCTGGCAGAGTGCTGTGCTGTGACCTTTATTCTACATCTCACACACACACTGTGTTGCGTGCAGCGCTCTAGCTGACATATAACATGCCTGGCTCGCCCCTCCCCCGCCCGTGCACGCTGTCAGCGAGCTGCTGTACTATCCATCTCACCGAGGATCTGCAGCTTCGAGGAAACGGTTCTGATGTTTTGTCGTCTCCTCCTCTCGTTTGTGTGAATTTCAACATTTAAAAATGTTGGCCACTTGTTGACAGGATGCTTCTCTCTGTCTGAATGTCAGTCGCTCCAGGAAGTCGCGATGTCGTGATAATTAACTCTTATTCAACCAATCCTTGTGAAGTCATCGCAACTTTTCCACAAATTTGATCAATCGTTTTCCCTTGAGTTGAACCAATCACAGCAGTCCCTGATCAAATCCTTGATGATGTCACCAAACTCACTTCTTTGTTTGTGGTGTTGAAGCATGTTGTGAAGCTGCAAACGTGTGTGACATCACTGTTAAAGACCGAGCGGAAACGTTCAAACATGTCTGACATGAAAGGGTTAAAGAGTTTTGTGGCGCTGCAACATGGTGGAGGAACCACAGGTGTAGAGCTGCCGGAGCCTCCGCAACGACGCTCCACTACGTTTATTCTCCAGAGGAAATAAAATATCTACAGTCACATGATCACGTTTATTTATCTACGTTTGAAGAAGCTGAAGATCCGATCATCACTGAAGAGTCTGTCATGGAGAGAGCTGAGAACAACACATGGTCACAGTCATTGATTGATTTCCAAACGTTAATCACGCATCAAGTAACACTCAAAAAAAAAAAAAAAAAAGATAGTCCACCTTATACCACGGTTTTACGCCGCAGGTCAGCTGAGTGAATCAGAAAGCGGCGTAATACACTGCGCTTGTGCGTAGGAATACGGTAGTTCAGTGGTTGAAAAAAAATGTAGTGCCAAAGGAAAAGTGCTGTTATCAATATTCTGCATGAAGCTTCATTTAAACACACGTTGGATTGTTTCGTTGGGCGTTTTTTAAAAGTGTCTAAAACACGTTTTTTTTTTTTTTTTTCTCGTGGCCCCGCCCACGTCAGATCTCCTAACTGACACCGCGCTCATCATGATCCACTGTAGCTAATGTACCGACTGTATGTGACGACCTCACACAACGCCACGTCTAAAAACCATGAACTGTCCCTTTAAGTGTTTTTGTCTGACAGAGTTAACCTTTCATCTCACTCCCTCAACTTCCTCACCTTCATCCTCACGGCCTGTCCTCCATTTTCACATCCCACCCCCTCCGTCCTGATGGAGATGAAACCCGACACTCTTCATCTCCCGAGTCTGTCGTATTAACCACGCAGCCGCTCTGTTGCTTTGAGTTCCTCGTGGATCTCTTTTATCAAATTCAGTTACGGGTGACGGTGTCACAGTTTACTGTTCATGGAAGTGGAGGATGATGATGATGATGATGATGGTGGTAGTGCTTGAATAGAGAATGATGAAATATTACATTACTGATGGAGAACTGCATTTAAACAAGTACACAAGAACACACTGGCATGCTGCGTGTGTGTGTGTGATTGTGATTGTGTAAACACTTTGTGTGTCTCCATTGTCATTTGTGTGATTGATTATCTGGGAAGCTTGGCAGGAGGACAGATTTATCGCTGGGCAACGCGTTCCCCTCATCCGTCTGTCTCTCTGTCTGTCTCTCTCTGTCTCTTTCTCTCTCTCTCTCTCTCTCTCTCTCTCTCTCTCTCTCTGTCTCTTTCTCTCTGTCTCTTTCTCTCTGTCTCTCTCTCTCTTTCTCTCTGTCTCTCTCTCTCTCCCTCTCTCTCTCTGAGCTGCACCTCGAGCCCCCCAGCCTCCCGTTTGTGTGTCTAAATGGCTCAGTTTAAGTGTGTGTTAGCAGGTGTTTGTGTGCAGCGGTTTGTGTGATGTGACCTTGCAGTTGTTTGGTGTGTGTGTGTGTGTGTGTGTGTGTACACATTAGCATTCTCCAGTGGAAGTGGACTTTAAGTTAGACTCTTTACTCCATGTGAACACAACCAAGGTGTGTGTGTGTGTGTGTGTGTGTGTGTTGACAGAGGGGAGCTGCTGCTGTAGCATTTTACTCTAAACTTGCTGATGCTCACACACACCTCATTGACACACTTACACACACTGAAGTGCACATACGCACATGCACACACTCTCAAAGGCATAGTCTCTCTCACTCTCGTATGATACACACACACAAACACACACACACACAAACACACACACACACACACAAACTCCCTCGTTGTGCCTTTTTGAAGTATGGAGATAATTTATTCGTGTCATGATGCCTGATTTCCCATCTGCTACTGGGACCCTGAGCAGCTGGAGAGAGAGGAAGCGAGAGGGAGGGAGGGATAGAAGAGAGGGAAAGGGAGGAGAGGCAGCTGGAGAGGCTCCCAACAGCTGGTAACCAGTTTCCTGTCACAGAAAGCTTACTTGGGAGCAATGAGGAGGTGGAGGAAGAAGGAGAGGAGGATTTAGTCTACAGGAGAGCAAGGGAGGAGGGAAAATGAGGTGTCAGCCAGTTTGTTTACTGAGGTTAGCCCTGCTGGAGGAGGAGGAGGCAGTAGCGGGGAGGAAACCGTAGCAACAGGGAGTCCTGAGGGGAGGGAGGAGGTGGCAGCCATGTGCGTGGATGGATGGATGGATCCCCTCCTCCCCCTCTGCTCTAGTCCGCCATTACTGACAAATTCAACCTCCACCCTGCAGAACGTGTAGCAGCATTGACTGACAGGCTGAAGTGAAACACCAGCTCCAGCTCATCAACATTTTATGGGATTTTTAGTTTAGAACAGAAACGATCAATTGATTAGTCGGTCAACAGAAAATTTACCAGCAGTCATTTTCAGATTAATGATTATTAATAATAAGTGTCACTTTAAAGGAAATATAGCAAAAATTCTGATTCAGATTTTTCCACTTTGAATCTTTGGGTTTTTGACTCTTGGTCAAACAACAAACAAATTTCTGACATTTTATAGAATAAAAAATGAATTGATTAATGAAAAAAAAAAAACAACCTGGGGCTGTAAACAGTAACTGACTTTATTGTCATTTATGTTTTGATTGTTGAGCCTTTAAGTCATAAAATAATGATTTCAACTTCCCAAATCTCAAGGTTACATCTCCAAAATACTTGTTTAATCTGACCAAGCATCTCAAACCTGAATATATTAACTTTATAATGATAAAAAGACGCCAAATTTGAACATTTAAGACGCTTGAACAAGCCCAATATATTTTAATTAGATATATAGAAATAAATACATTTAATTTGTTTCTAATTTGGCTATTTTTTCTATCTATTGAACATATTTTTCACAACTAGGAATTAGTAATATTTTCCATAACTCACAATGTGAACGTGCACACTTCGATGTAATCGAGTTCTAACTGTTTAAGTGGGTTTTTTATCTTGATGTTTTTCTTCTATAAAAGTGTTTTTTGAGCGAGATTCAAAGTTGCTCAGTAACTCGGATTAACAGATATATTTGTTTCCCGCTCTCCGCAGCATTCCCCCGCGGACCCGTCAGGCGATGCCTCAGTGAAGGTTCCTGAAAGGCCGACTGTTGGCGCTGGAGTGCCCAGCCAGCCTATCGGCACAGAGCAGCCCAGCAACCAGGAGACCAAGCCAAAAAAGAAGAAGAAGAAGAAAGCTAAAGTAGCGGATGGAGAGGAAGAAGAGGGAGGGAAGAAGGCGGCGAGAGAGGGAGGAGCTGCCGAGGAAGACTTAAAATCTGAATTTCCCAGATCAGGAAGTGACGCAGGTGAACAGGTGACTGGCACAGGAACTGTAGAGGGAAGTTCACCGTCGGTGGAGGAGAAGAAGAAGCGGAAAAAGAAACCAAAGGAGAAGGCGGAGGGCAAGGAGGGCAAGGAGCCCAAAGAGCCCAAGACCCCGAAGACGCCCAAAACGGGCAAGACCCCCAAAGAGCCGAAGGAGAAGAAAGCCAAGGGCTCCACGCCCAAGACCAAGACCCCCAAGAAAACTGGGTAGGAGCAACATTACTCTGTCATTGTGTGTGTGTGTGTGTGTGTGTGTGAGTGTGTGTGTGTGTGTGTGTGTGTGTGTGTGTTGTATGTGCTGACTGGTGTAGGAAGCCAGTTCAACAAAAACTCCCATCAGCTCGTGTTACTAGTTGTGAAGCCTTGACATAAGTGCTTAACCGCTAAGTGGAAGTGGGACATTTTCACTTCCACGTATACAGCACGCGTATGGAAATGAATCACACAGGAGGTGGCCGGCTGCGATGGATGCGAGGAGATGGAAAATAACTGAGAGACTATACTGACTCTCTGTGTCACAGTGTTAGCCGTATGTAGTTTTTCATGGCGAAATCTTGTTTGGTGCAGTAAAGAAATCTGTTGTCAGTCGCCGGAGGAGTTCTGGTGTGGCTGTCTTTGTGTTATGAGCTGGTGTTTGTGTAGATGCAAACACGCCCAGTAGGTCCGTTACTCATGGAGCCAACCAGGGGGAACCAGAGGGGTCACAACCTCTGAGCTGTGAAAGACCTGGCGACCACAGACCGTGAGAGCGTGTGTGTGTGTGTGTGTGTGAGTGTGAGTGTGTGAGATCACAGGGCTCGGTGAAGCAAAGAGAAGGGACTGCTAGACAGAACGGATCTGAGGATCAATCACAATTTAGATACTGATCAACAGCCAATCTGATGACAACACCAAACCCAACAAGTTTAGTTACAGTTCCCAAAACAAGTTTTAACAAATAACACACAGACGGAGGGAAACGGTGCATTAGTTGGGAACTATTTTCTGTGGGTGATTAATACATTTTGTGATGTGAGTGAGGTTTCTTGAGCAGCGCGACGGTGAACGTGGGATTGAGTCAAATTACTTGTTTGTGTTCGTTATACTGAAGCAACATGTCAGCCAGTACAGCAGAGGAGCCCACTGGTGTGTTTGTAATAGCTTTTGGACAACAGGGCTGCTAGCTGCTAGCTGTGCAGTGAAATGGTGCTGCTGTGTGTCTGTGATTTGGTCGGTAACTGTGTGTTTTTAAAACGTACTTCTCTCAGTGGAAGGTGTCGCCACCGTGTCTCTGGTTCAGCAGCACCTTGTTTACCCAGGTGTCATCTTTACATGGCGGCCCGATCAGCGCCAGAGCTGATAAAATACCCGGGACTTACTGCAGAGTCCTTTGACCCGGACGTGAATGCCCATAACCCTTTCACATTGTAAACAATAGCCAGATGTTAGCAGCTGTTTTTGAGAGTAGCCCACTGCTAGCTGCTAGCTGTGCAGTAAAATGGTGCTGCTGTGTGTTGGAGCCTCTGCATGAGACCATTAGGTTGCTAATTGTGTGTTTTTAAAACTCACCTCTCAGTGGAAGGTGTAGCCCAGGGCCGTCACTTTTTATTCCAGCGCGTCAGACCATCAGCAGGTAATATCTTTAGTAAAAAAAAAAGAAAGAAAGAAGAGCCGCACCTGATCCCGATCATCTCGATAGATTTGTGTTTCTGGCAGATAATATGAGAGAAACTATCGGTTCCATGTTTTACCTTGCTACACTTTTAGCGAGGTGGAAGTGACGAGAGAAGAAAACGTTAAAACGAGTTAATACAGCCGTTAATGATACGACTTTTGGCTGCAGGAAGAATGGGAAGACTGATGTTAGATGTGCTGTAAAGTTGTTTGGTGTTTTGCTGCGCTGCGTTCACCCGGGTGTCGGAGCTGATAAACACCCGGGACAACTGCAGAGTCTTCTGACCGGGACGTGAATGTGCCCATTACTTTCACATTGTCGCCAATAGCCAGATGTTAGCAGGTGTTGTTTTTTGTCCAGTGTAAAAGGGGCTTTAGTTATTTAATATCCGTACCTGGTATATAGGTATGCGTGTTCTCTCTGCACTTTTCTGGTCCGACTTTATTCTTAACTTGTGTCCTGCTTCCAGAGATGCACGGGTAGAGGCAAAGAGTTGAGGGGCATTTGTGTCGGAGGGAGTCAGAGGTGGTTTCATTGTGTAGCCCTTGGTCTCTCCACCCTCTCCCCCTCTCCCCCTCTGTCCTCACCCTCGGTCTCTCTCTCTTCCCTCGCAGCCCCTTTTATCCCAAGGAAGAGGGAGGGCCAAAGCAGCAGGCAGGGGTCAGCACTGGGGGAGGTGCGAGTGTGTGTGTGTGTGTGTGTGTGTCTCTATGCATTCATCGGCCAGTGGAAAAGAGTTGGGGGCGGGGAATGTGGGAGACCTGGAGTGAGTGTGTCAGGCAGTGAGGGGGTGGGTGGTGTGTGAGGGGGGGTGGGGGGGGGGGGGCAGGCCTTTGGTGTTTGTGTGCATGTGTGTGTTGGAGGAGGAGTCGTTAGTAATCTTTGTGGCAGAAAATGGCGTCTAATGATAATGAAGGCCATGCCGCTGACCACTCCACAGCCACAAGTGTGTGTGTGTGTGTGTGTGTGTGTGTGTGTGTGTGTGAGGGCAGAGGAAATGTGGGGGTAGGAGAGTTCTTTCTTAGCCCCTTGTGTGTGTGTGTGTGTGTGTGTGTGTGTGTGTGTGTGTGTGTGTGTGTTGGTAAACTAGCTCTTATCTGTTGTCAGGCTCTCCTCCATCTTGAGTGGCGGCCTGGAGCTCCCAGGTTAATTTAGCATAATAATGGCTGCCGGCCATTCACTGCTACTCTAAAATGGTGGACTGCTGCAATCACCCAACTATCTTCTCTTTTATTCTTTCTCCTCCTTTCCCCTCCCTTCAATCCCACCTCTTCCTGCTGAAGAGGAGTGTATCCTTTCATCTTTTCCTCTCCACTTCACCCTCCCCATCTTCCCTCTTCCCCCTGTCTGTCTCTCTGCTTTAAGCTGAGGACTGAGGTGTGTCTTTTCTTCTCTTTCTTTCCCTCTGCTGTCCCATGTTGTCTTTCGCTCTTAAGCATATTAAATTTCCATATTTTGGAATGAAGTTTGGTCTTCATGGTATGTTTTTGTATAATTGCAAAAGCTAATTCCTTTACTTAAATGTAAAGTGTTTCTTTGTGCTGCTCTTCTTGTAGCAAACTTTCCCAAATCTGATCTTTAATTTTTACAGTTACTTTTTTGCTTTTCTGGCTCATTAAAATACTTTATTAAAGCTTTAAAATTAACTTTGAAAAACTCCCCTTTTAGTGTAGAGGAAACCCTCTTCACAGGCCACTAGCACATATGTTCCATTGCGTTTTTGGGAGATTTTTTTTGCAAGATTTCCACCAGTGGGTGAAGAAATAAGCCCCAAAGCTCAGGAGTTTCTCATGTGGCCCATACCACGCTACAGTATATTCCTTTCTGCTCTGTGTATTTGCATCTCTGCACGAACAAATAAGCCACCACAGAGCAGGCTGAAGCCTTTTTCTTTTAATCGGTGTAACAAGGATGTCGGGTCTGTACTGTTAACCCTTTGAACACGGTCTGCGTTTCGGTTTTCACTTCCTTCATTTGCAGTTTGTGGCATCGTCACCGCAAATCCTCTGTGCGTGTGAGCGAAGGTATTCAGAAACACCACTATTTCAAATAGTCCACAGGTTTTCAACACACCACAAATCTGTACATGAATGAATAGAGGAGTGTGTCCAGGCACATTAAAACCATGCTGATAGCATTTTCTGAGTGTGTGTGACCAAAAAAGACAATTTCTTGATTTTCTTTTTTTTAATTTCTCAATGTCCCATAATGACAAAGCGTAAAATAAAAATAACAGTTTTGAATTTTCTTTGCAAATGTAAAAAAGGAAAAACTGAAATATCACATTGACATAAGTATTCAGACACTCTCCCATTTCTCTTGATCATCATCTGGGAGATGATAACGATGGTAAATTCAATAGATTCATCATGTTTTGGAAAGGCACACACCTGTGTGTGTATATACCTGCAGGGTGTTGCAGTGATGGTTTTTATTATTATTATTATTTTAGAATAAAGCTCCAACTTAACAAAGTGAAAAAATTGAAGTGGTCTGAACACTTTCCTAAAGCACTGTATATTGAGAGACTAACTGTTATTGTCCAACTGTCTCCGAGCTTCAGAATAAAAGCACCAGTGGCTCCACTTCATTATTACAGTACTTTATTTGCCTCAGCCACAACAGTACTTTAACTTAACTGCGACAGAAGTTTATTTAGATAACAGGTAGAGGACTAATATATCAGCTTACTGATCTCTAATGTGGTTTTCCTAATGACAGATCTTTCGCTAGCGTGCAGAGGAGTTTATAACATGATGCTGCTGAAGTAAGACTCAGAAAGGCGTGGTGTGCTTTGTCTGTAAATATGACTCATGATATACATGGTCTTTTAAAATAGTATGATTCAACTTTGTCAAAAAAATCGCAATAAATCATAATATTGAATCACGATACTTAAAAAAATCTCAATGAATCAGCACCTTTAGCATCGAATGGGGAGATAAGCGTGTCGTCCCAGCCTTGATAGACTCAGACTTGGCTGTGGACTAGTGACTTTAATGATTATGAGGCAATATTTGAAGTTATAAAGAGCGTATATGTGATTTCTTCTGATTCATGGAGGATTATTCTTAATTGAATTTTCTGTTAAAAGGTTAAAATGTGCCTTGCGTAGGCTGACGATTTTGCTCTTAATGTAGAGGCGATGGATGGAAATCTCCGATGCCGTTGGTCTCAGCTGTCCAGGAAAGTGTGAGCAATTCGGAGAGAATCAGGTGGTTTACTCGACCATTCAGCTCACTCCTCTCCTTTGACCTTGCTTTCTCTCTCCATCCTTTTCCCCCCGCTCGCTCTCCCTCTCTCTCTGTCTACCTCACTGAGGAAGTACATCTATAAATAACCCAGCTCTCAGCTGCCACACCCTGCCCTGCGTGTGTGTGTGTGTGTGTGTGTGTGGATGGGGGGGTGAGATGAGATTTGTTTGCAGTACACATAAAGAAGTCAGACATGCATGCAGACACCTCGCTTTGTGCACGTCTGCAGATGTGTGTGCAAATACAGCACTTTTTGTGTGCCTTCTGGCCACTGTTGTTTTTTGTAGCCACGGGTCGTGTGTGTGTGTGTGTGTGTGTTGGGATTCAGTGATATGACTCATCATGGCAGCAGGTGTCCCTTACACCCCACCCTTCCCCCATTTTTGGCTTCTCTTCAGTTTCTCTTTCCCTCCCCATATTTTCCCTCCACTGCTCTGCTTCCTGTCTGTCCTTTATCCTCCCTCCCCTGATCTGAAAGGAGCATCTCAACTCCCCTCTCTCTCACCCTGAGAGGCACACACACACACACACACACACACACTGTGCACCACAGCTGTCCAGCATGTGTGAACCTAAAGGTTCAAAGAGGGTGGAGCTTGCGTACACCTGGACAGAGCTAACCTGTTATGGAGATGTTTGATGTCGCAAGTGCAGCATTGATTTAATACCTTCAAGAGTAGGTGGCCAGTTTCATCCGGGGTTTATAGCAATACGATGACATCACTAATCACCTCACTTCCTGCTTGACTTGCCTTACCTTGCATGATTTCTGAGTTGATATCTGTATCAGCAGCAAAAAAAAAAAAAACTATAGAATACCAGCGATTCCCATATACGTGTAAAATAAATTTGGCATCATGTTGATCATTTTCACGTCTCTGCACTGGTGAGAAGTTTGAATGTTTTCATATCAGGCTAATCATCAAGCTTCAACTCACAATATAACTCATCAACATTTAGACAAACTGAGAGGTCCAAAAGTCTGACACCGCTTTGGTCTCAGACTTCACTTCAGTTGAATTTTATTTCAGATTTTTTAACTTAGAAAATGGGAATGAGAAGCTAAAAACGGAAACTTTTCACCGCTAAGATTAGACACTGAACTCTTTTCAAAACAAAAACTGAACAAGAGGCTCCAGAGAGTCGAACGCACAAAGACCATAAGAGAGAAACAACTTTTACATTGAAGCAAAGATGATCATATATCAGTTTTATATTTATTTATCACCATATATTTTAACATTTCTTTAAATTTACCAAGTGGAACTCCACATTCTTAATGCATTATAACTCATCCACCCCTTTGTTTACCCCTTTGACAGTTATGCATCTTCTTTATGTTTGTCCTCACCCTTGCCTTTCTAAATGTTTTCTGAATACAGTTTGGCAGTAGATGATTTTGTGCTTTATATATTATCTCTGCAGTTTAGGACCCACAGTATATTTCAAGACGTCGAGGTGCGTCTGGTTCTTATTAAACTACCAGTGGACTCGGGTTTAGGAGAGTGTAGAAATGTGTAGAGGAAGCAGAGTGAGACTGTTTTATGTCACAGATGAACAGTGATGCTGAGACGTGGTGGTGATAAGATTTGTCTTCGCTGTGAGTCAGTAATTTAATAACGGGGAAAACGGCGGCTGCGGTCAACGTAATTTATGTCAATTGATTTTATAAAATCAAAAAATTTATCGTAGCATATAAAGAAACCACTCAGACTCTTCAGCAGTCGTAAATAAACTTGTTTTATAAGATCACATTTTGCTGCTTTTGAGTGATTTGGTGCCAGAACACAGAAGCGGCGTATTTTTCGGACTAACAGGAAAATGAAATCGTTTATTACAAGCCGGTGACGGGTGATTGGTTGAAGCGACTAATGCAGATTGGGACTTAGAACTAAAAAGGACGGGTAAAGGAAAGATGGGTTGTTGGGAGAAGAGAGTTGTCGCAAAAAGCAGCGAAAGAGACGGACGGAGCACAAAGAGTTGGAGAGTGATGGAGCGACTGAGAAGAGAAGTGAGGCCACGAAGAAGCCAGGAGGAAGAGAGGGCAGAAGGCAGCCAAGTGGAGAAGTGTGTGTGTGTGTGTGTATATGTGTGTGTGCGTGTGTGCATGTGTGTGTGCGTGTGTGTGTGTGGCCAGATGGCTCCAGCGTGTGGCGACCAGCCAGAGGAACAGGTGCAGGTCACATGACCAGCCGTTACCACGGAGATCGTGATTGCTCTTGGCGTGAGGATGAAAGGAGAAGGGCCCCAGGGACGCAGAGGGGGTGAGAGACGAGGAGAGAGAGGGAGAGAGAGGCACAGAGCAGGAGAGAGGACGAGCGACACAGGCACAGAGGAGGAGAGAGAGAGAGAGAGAGAGATCCAGGCATACAGTACTGCAGAGGGCAACACACACACACACACACACACAGTTTTATAGTAAGTTAGCAGAGCAGATTATCTCCTTTATATCCTGTATAACATGTACAGTTTGTACGTTAGCATTTAAAAACAGGAAACAGTAAAGAGTTCAGCTGGGTTTGAAAAGCTCGTTCTGTCGTGGATCTGGTTCCAGGTTTGCCAAATACCCGGACTCTCTAAGATCCGCTGCTTAACGAGTGTCGTGTGAAACCTGTTATCTCTCCTCACTCTGTTGTTTTTTGAAGGGGAAAATAAAATGTGACGGGTGGATTATGTCAGATGTCGCTAATTAACGTAACCGTCGTAAGAAACCGAAAGGCTGTAACAGAACTTTACTGCTCGTAGATCAGTCCGATGTTAGTCAGACTCTTTCTAATTTTAAGCCAGAAACACTAGACACCTTACCCCCAGGCTAACTCGGGTCTGAGACCAACGTTACCACGGCAACCCTCAGTGACACACGCGCTGACCGGTAGCAACCAGACAACAAGAAACAGGAAAACATGGCTCATAATTTGTGTTTTACTAACATTTCTATGAAGAGGGAAAGAGTTGTTAAAGTTGCGGTTGTTTGTTTGTTTTTTTTGTTTTTTTCCCCAAATCAGATTTTTATTTTTATTCTTTCACTCTTCGCTGAATTTCCAAAATAAAACATCCTTGTAACTCACTCTCCAAAAGACAAACGTTTTCTGCTGCGGTAAACAGAGCTGAGTGATTTGATGAAGTTCCTCAGTCGGCCATCTTTAAAAAAATATATATATATTGAAAAAAGTAATTTACTCAATGTTTTCACTGTATTTACAAATCAGATGTTTCAGGTATGGGGCTGCGTCCACACTGCTACGTTTTCATTTTAAAAGGCGGCACTTTTGCTAAGTTTACTCGTGGCGTCCGCGCTACGCCGCAGTTTTCAAGCCCCAAAAACGGAGACAAACTCCGCGGTTGCGTTGTAGTGTGGTCGGGCAGAAGTGGAGACTTACGATGATGCAGACACCCACGGTCGCTTCCTGCATGACGACCGGTGGTGAACACAACGTGGATAACGTAATCCAAGCATTAGGGACCTTTGTCGTTAGACCTGTTTTCATTTTAAAATGCAGTTTTTAAAATAGTAGTGTGGAGCTGACACTTCTGTAAGAAGTTATTGAACCTGTTTTACTTTGTTGTGAATTTAAGATACAAAATAATTTGCTGACGTGGGATCCATGGCGTCTTTTGAGCCGCCCGTTCAGCTCTAGCAGTGGGGAAAAGGGTTTGCAAGTCAGTGAAACAATCTTTACCTAAATTTCAGGAGTCAGAATCAGCCGAGATCAACCTGAATCTGAACTATTACAATATTTTATGTTTGCCAACTTAACAGTTCTCCATTCGTGCTGTTCATATTTACAGCAAAGAAGATGTGCAGAGGTTTGCAGGCTGGACTTGTTTTTCTCTGTGCGATGAGTTTAATCAGCATTTCATATCTCCTGCTGCTCGTCCCATGTGCTGGTTGTGGGGTTTTATCTGCAGGTTCAGTTACGTGCAAATGCAAATAAACCGAACTCTATTTAATAAGTGGATTCAAAAGGATTCGGATTCATTGACCAGAATCTGGATTTTGTTGCCGTCAAACCTCAACTCTAAACTGTATGTTGGTATTTGAAGATCAACATTTTGTGAGCCGCCCTCGACGGATCATTTCTGACCAGTCATGGCAGAAAAGTAATTGAGTACTGAGAGAGAGAGAGAGAGAGAGAGAGAAGGGGTGTTGTGTGTCCTCTCACCTTCCTCTATGGTGTGTATGCACAGATAGAGCCAGCTCCTCTTTCTTTCCATGCCAGAGATTAGAGGAGGCCTGGGGGCCTCTCAGCCCATCCCCCCTCCTCTCTCTGGGGCCTCTCTCTCTCTCTCTGTCCCTCTGTCTCTCTCTCTCCCTGTCTCTCTCTCTCTCTCTCTCTCTCTCTCTCTCACTCACTCACTCACTCACTCACTCCCTGTCTCTCTCCCTCTCTCTCTCCCTGTCTCTCTCTCTCTCTCTCTCTGGGCCCCCCTTGCGCTTCCTCTCTATCTCTCTATCTCGCTATCTCGCTCCCTCCGCCTCCTCGCAGTCTTTCATCGTATTAACCCCCTGTGTGCCAGAGCCTGAGGCACACTAATGATTTCTAAATGGGTAAATCAAACATGGCGACCACCCTGGGACACACACACACACACACACACACACACACACACACACACACACACACACACACAAAAAAAATGCCTTGTCTGTAAAAAAGGGAACACTTCGAGGTGGTGTGTTTTTCTTCTTCTTCTATTTAGTAAAAAAGTTTGTTTTTTTCCTCTTTCCTTGCAGCAATAAGAAGGTGGAGTCGGAGGCCGGGGCTGGCACTGCTAAAAAGGATTCCAAGAGGAAGAGAGAGTTGTCAGTCAGCGACGATGTGGAGGTGAAGTCTCCACCTCCATCGCCCCCTGAAGAGGAGGATGATGATGGTGTACAGGTACGGGGGTTGCAGGGGGTGGTCCCACTTTCAGGCAGCACACCGCATCAGAAAGTCATGGCTCATATGGCTTTGCACCGTAGATCCAGGAAGTCCAATGAAAAAAAAAATATAAAGGGTCATAAAACCTTTGCCGTTCCCTAGAGATAAAAGGCTCTGCTATAGTTTCTGTTGTAAACCAGCCTCGTTGAAAGGCCCCTCTAAGTTCCCATGATGCATCAGCAGCACATTTGAATAAAAAAAATGAACATGAAAAAAGTAAAAGCTATTTGTAAGTTTTGCTATCGCTAACATAGCTAACGTTAGCATTAGCAGCTGTTTACTGACCAGTCTAGAAAACACTTTACAAGTTCAGCATCAAACTTCATTCCTTTACTCACCAGCAGCCGTTTCCAGAGGTGGAAAACTACCCCCTTGTTTTGCTTCTATTTATCACTCCTTTTCTTCTGCTGAAGTTAGCATGCTAACCAGTTAGCCCCGGTCTCGTCACGTTCCAACACCGAGTCAGTGCAGCGTTCGGTCTGCTCAGAGGACGTATTATAACCTCTTGCCTTGTTAAACTGAGGCTGTAAGAGCTTCAGTCACTGACTGAACTACCAAGACTGGTAAGTAAACAGCTGTTAATGCTAACGCTGCCTATGTAGAAATAGCTGTTTCGTTTGGTGCCGTTACATATTTATATACATTTACATTTATCTGCCTTTTGGTGGATGCCTGTTGCTTCGTATTTCGTGATATTTTAATGAAGCGAGACACAAGACCGCCACTGATGAGCAGAGCGTTGACGCCTTTTGTGTGTCGTCTTTGTCCATCAGAAGCGCCGCTCCAGCCGTCAGGTGAAGAGGAAGAGGTACACCGAGGATCTGGAGTTTAGGATTTCAGAGGACGATGACAGTGGAGATGACTCACCGGCACCGAAATCCCCATCTTCATCACAACAACAGGTACAGCTTGGGTTTCCTTTATTGGTTTAGAGTGTATCTGGCCATTGTCAGCGGTAACGGACATCATTGAGCTGGAGGCAAGAAGAAGAATGATATTTGAAATGATTTTGTATTGATTTCTGCCAACGGGCGTTCCCAACTCCAAACATTACCTCAATTAAACACTATTGTATCACAACACATGTAAAAAATTATAGTTTTCTGTCTCAAATCCTCCTTGGTACTGACTAAAACATGTCTGGAGCAGAGTGTCAAACGAACCGGTGCCAAAATCTGGGGTTGAATTTTACATTTGAAGTCTTGCTTACGTGTTGTGTCATTAAACAGCAGCTGAGAGTCGTAACGAAACCCGGTGTTAAACAGGCCCCGGGGTTAAATGTCTGCTCTCTGTGCTTGAGAAATTAAGAAAATAGTTGAGCACATAAGAGAAAATAAAGCAAGTTAATTCTGTTCCTACAGTTTAAGACCATTGTATTTTGTTCCGGTCATTCTTTGTGCAGCTACTTGTCTGTAAACAACATTTAACACTTTGTTAAAACTGATAATCCAGATATCAGCACCAGTCAAGTTTTATATAGAAAGTAAATAAGTTACGTCACCTCCATATCTCTATACCTGGATGGGTGTTTAATTTTTCAGGTGCAGTAAAGGCAACATGTTAAGGAGGGGGAGTGGGTGTGAACACCTGGACCAGGCAGGTGATATGAAAT